GCTGTCGAGATGAGAAATGAATTACCGTCATCGGTAGCCCGCATGCAAGTGGAATTCGTGAGGTCCACTTCCGAAGAATCCGTGGCGAACAGCCGAACCGGATGTGCCCCGTGCGGCATTTTCCACTTCCGGCCTGTAGATGCCGTGGTTGTGGTCGATCCGTCCGCCGGTTTCGGCCGCCACAATTCGTTGTACCTCCTCAATTCCTCTTCGGATTCCATCATCAATTGCAGCTCAGTATCCAAACAATTGTATGCCTTTGCATCCTCTCTTATGGATTTCGAAAGCTCCTGAAAAACGTACAGTACTTCATCACTTTACTTGAACGATTTTTGTTTCCATTTCCCACCAATGCAAGTGGACTACAGTTTCGAAAGTAGGTTCNAAACAATTGTATGCCTTTGCATCCTCTCTTATGGATTTCGAAAGCTCCTGAAAAACGTACAGTACTTCATCACTTTACTTGAACGATTTTTGTTTCCATTTCCCACCAATGCAAGTGGACTACAGTTTCGAAAGTAGGTTCTGATACTGAAGGGAAAATTTTAATTTTATGGGTAAGCATTGTTTCGAAAGGAGGAGAGCGACAAAATGTATAGCTGACGATACGATTATTTTTCAGACAATTTTTCTTCTTAAAAAAATTGCAACCTTTATTTTACCAAATCAAGTTGACAGGGTTAGAGAAAATTAGAAGAACCGCAGAATTTCTGAAGCATCTAGAGATTCTAGACAACAAGGGATAAATTCCAAGTTTTTGTGAATAATTTTTTTTATCTAACAAATTGTGAGAATACGTTTTTAACCTTACGTTGGGCAACGGTCCTGCAAATTTCATAATTTTGGGACTGAGAAATAAGATTTAACCCCCTTCTCAAAATGAATGAAGGTTCTTTAATTGATAAGTTCACTTCAGTTGATCATCATAGGACACAAACATCCTTCATCATCATTCATTTATGAAGCATGTTGTCAGACAGAGTTTGCAGCGTGGAATTGATTTATTTGTCAAAAAATATCAATCCCTTCCATTTTAACCTCTTACATTTTCCTATGTTAAGGAATTTTCCTCCTTAACGCAATGAACACTGACAAGTGGAAAATGGAGCTTCTATATAAATAAATCCAGACAAACTCCTTCGCATATACGAGGATTAACACGGTTCCGCGCGGATGAGCTTGTTGCTGTTGCTGTTCTGAGGCCGGAAGCTTCAAAATTTAAAAACTGAACATTTCAAGGCCTGTTTTAATAAACACGTGGATCACAAAGGCTGAAAATTTAGCAAAAATTGACGGTCATTTCATCATTAGAAGGTGTTTGCCTGGCCTGCTACAAATCGTGAACATCATACAAAAATGCGTTTAAAAATTCCCCGGTGTTCAGATCATTTTAAGTCCGCGCAGAAACGTGTAACCCCTCGTTCAGGTCTTGCAGCTAATGGGAATAAACACTAAAGACCCGTTGTTTGCAGCACCAGACAGGCGTTAATGTTTCGAATTCATAGCTCACGAGAAATGTTATCAAATGTCTATAGGAAACCGAAGTCTTCAGATAATTGCTCGTGTCTTCGGGTTTCTGAAACAACAGACTCGAGACCTATATACAACTGTATGTCTATATAAGGCTCACCTCGATCAGACTGGCAACTGAAGACTCTTCCAGAGCCGGGTCCTGAATCATAATGATCCACGAGTGCACAAAGTGCACTACTCTTCGTTTGTACTTGATGGCGAGGTCCTTGTTGTCGTCCTTATCTCCATGGTGATAAGTGCTCGGAAGTCAAGGAAGAAAACTTGCTAATGTATATTGTCAAGCATGCTTGGTCGGAAATTAATTCCCCGGGGGGGCTCCGAAACCTAATTCTCATCCCCCCTCCCCCCCTTGATCTCTATACATAGGTTCAGCATCTCTTATGCTTAGCTTCTCATGCCTGTATACATAAACCCCTTCGGAATATTGCCGACATTCATGTTTATTCAATACAGCTGCTTGCATGGTGTGCTCATTTGATATACATAGATCTTCTGAATACGTGGAGCTCATCGCCATCTTGTCCATATTTCTGCAGGACTTACACTGGTGTAATGAATTTTTGATCAGGAGAAATTAATTCCCGTATATCTCAGGCTTTCGACACTTTTACAGAGAGCAGAAATTAACTTCACCTTTCAACTTTTGAGCAAATTTTTGCGATAATGAGTTGGATACTACTGTATACCAAACTTACCGAATAAAAATATACTATACTTGAAAACCGGCATGAAAAAGTGTCAATTGATGATTAGGTCGTAATTTTTTAAAACTTGGTTTGATAGAATAGAACTCAATATCTGAGAATGTGTTCGACACTTTTTTTAAAGGTTTTCGACACTTTCTTTCGAGTGCAGAAATTAACTTCATCTTGCAACGCATCGTGAACAAATTTTTGCAATTATGAGTCAGATATTAATGTATACCAATTGAAAAATACCTGTATACTAAATCTGAATACCGACACGATAAGGTTTCAATTGATGGATAGGTACTAATTTTCTAACAGTTTGCTGAAATAGGACTCAATCTCTGAGATGGAGTTCGACACTTATTTTGAGGTTTTCCATACTGTACTACTGTACTGTACTTTCTTTTGAGTGAAGAAATGAACTTCATCTTGCAACTCTTCAACACATTTTTGTGATAATGAGATGGATATTGATGCATACCACATTAAAAAATATTGTACCAGAAAACAGTCGCAAAAAAAGTTTCCATGGATGGTTAGGTCAATTTTTTTTTCTAATTTGGCTTGATAGAATAGAACTCAATATCTGGGATTGTGTTTGACCCTTGTTTGAGGTTTTCGACACATTTTTAGAGCAGAAGTTAACTTCATATTGCAAATTGTAAACATTTTTTCGATGAGTTAAATCATAATGTATAAAAATTGAAAAATACATTTCATCTGAGAACAATGGCACGCAAACGTTTCAGTTGGTGGTTAGGACCTGATTTTTAAAAGTTGTTTTAATAGACTAGAACTCAATATCTGAGATTGTCCTTCAGAGGATGCACTGATTAATATGATAGAGAAAAAACTTCTCATTGCATTATTTTTTCCTTCCACGATGTACCTAAGAAAAACTTTAAAAATGGAAATGGGGTGTCCTTGGATAAAATTAGCCCCTCGGGGATGAGAAAATCAATTAAGTGATGGAAAAGGATATTGATCGACGAGTTGCTGTGCAAGATCCGCCGATGACATGAAGATGATGTGAGTGAGCAAAAAATCGTCCAAGAACAAGTCCGATGTGGTGAAATCTTTGTGAGCAGAATTCGACCAGGACTTGTCCAACTCGGACAGTCCATCACCGAGTCTGGTTTGCAGCAAATGTTCCACCATTTTATACGGCGTACCGGCAACAACTGAGTACCTGCAATCATCAGAGAATAAATTATAAGGGATCAGAAAATGTGTTCCTGATTTTCAAACGCAGCGGTTTATAAAGTTCTTTTTGGTGAAATATTATTGAATTCATTCCACGGGGCCTTTGCGTAAGAAAATTCCGCACTTGTATCTTTGCTGCGATCGTCATCAGACAACGTCGTGTGAGTAATTTTCAATTTCTTTTCAGCTGATTTAGACGACATCTTGCAACTTCTGAATCCATCGATCAGAAAATTGCTACAATGTAAGTTGAACTCCGTCACGATTTTTTTTTTGGGATCCCAAGTATCTCAGTCAAGCGCTAAGGAAATGAAATGATGCAATGACTTACTGCAAAACATGATTTGAACCACCATTTTTAAAGGGTAGTTTTAACGCATAAACTTACTTTTGCAATGCGTAATTATAAATCACATTTCATTTTCATTGAAATAAGATGGCGTAGACGTTTCTATTGCCGCATAGTTGTTAATTGTATCACCCAAGCGCTTTTTTATTTGTGCGAGCTATTTTACGTAGCTTGAACCAGATGCTTATTAATAAGATTAATAGAAGTTAAGATGGGTAAACCGTTGTTGAAAAAAATCGAAGCACGTACTTTCTCTCAATTTCACCCAAAATAGGAGAACTTGTAAAATGATCAGGAAATTACGGAGCGTCACTCGAGGGAAAAAATAATTGGTTCATCTCAAGTGTGCATATTTAAACAATGAAAAGTGAAAGAAAGCTGACAAAACTGTCGAACCATTTCTGATGGTACATTCAAACCACTCTAATCGAATTTCAAGGGACCATAAAAAAATTATATTTTGGGAAATTTTGCCTTATAGAGGTTTTGAGTTGGGAAAAGGAGCATTTTTGTTGTGTGAGATACAGAAGAATTGCAGGAAATTGTAAATGGTGATATTCTGGGCCTTTGCTTCTTAAACGACTTGACATCATGCCGAAGTTGGATGCAAGGGTTTATTTCCCCAATCAGTCTTTCACTTATCTCAAAACACATCAAGGTACTTTTTTATTGCTTTTCTCGTTCCTTTGTCAAGAAAATAATACCCAAAAAGCCCGAGAAACTTCGAGTTACGGAGGTTTGAGAGAAAAAAGCCTTTGAGTTCTGCATTGTTTCTAAGAAAACTCAGACTGGGACTAGCACAAAAATTTGACTTAGGGAGACATTCGACTTCGGAGGTTCAAGTAGTACGAGGCCCGGTGAGAAAATTGCTAAAGGTCGAAAGACTTTTGATAAGCCTCAGGCGGATATAAAGAAGAAGTCGGCGAGTATTTTCGCATTTATGGCGGCAAATCAATCCAAGCACGCGTGGGCCTGACGTGGTTGCACAAGTCTCTCGACGAGCGAAACCCGGGGGAAAATTCCGGGTTGTCGGAAAGAGAATACCTGCGATCATTCATAGCACAAAATCCCGTTCAATTCTCCCAGCAAATCCCAACCATTCAAAGGCTTTCCGCGAAATTGTTTCCCTGCCCTTTTTTTTCTATACGTCGGGCAGTTCTATTTATTTCATTTTTATTTTATTTATTTATTTTTTTCACTTTTAGGAAAGCGGGGAATTCTTTCGGGTGACTAACCTGGTGGGGGCATCCGGGGCATCAGTAACGCGTTCCAAAACCAGAACGTCTTTGCCGTGTTCTTGGAGACGAACAGTGTTCGCCTCCACGTCACGTAGGATGCGGTTGAAGTCGTCTTTATCCACGCGGAGGAAATGGCAGTTGTCTTCTCGCAGAACGATTGTCGCAGCCCTTTTCCCGGGATTGGAAACAAAAGATCATTTTGTTGATGCGGAAAATCAGTGAACCAGCGAAAAGCGTTTTAACCTGATCCTTTATAAAAGGTTTCCAAGCACGAATTACTTTACGGAGTACATTGATGCGTATTGTATCCCTGAAAGTGAAACGTAACCTCATGATCCGCCAGCAATTAAAAATAAGGGGAGTTTCGCTGTGATTTCACGAGGACTTTTCAGCACTTTTCTTGAGCAATGTCGACCAAAAAATTGCTCAAGAGTTTTTCGAACTCTCCTGTATATAGTAATAGACAGCTAGCGTATCATCAGACCACGATTTTTAGCACCAACGTCAGGGGAAAAACTGCTTGAACCGAAATAAATCGGAATTTTTTCACGATAAATGTTTGTTATTTATGCAGTAACCTGATTTTTTTTCAAGCTTTCGAAGCTTTAATTCCTTCGTAGAGTAAAGTACAATATATCAATCCCAGAAATAAGTAAAGCTTATGATCCACGAATGATGAAAAAATATGAGAAGTTTCGTAGTGATTTTAATAGGGACTTGTAACGATGATTTATTCGGGATTTTCTCTGCCAATGATCAATACTGATCAAAAACCTGCCTAGAATTTTTCGAATAATGCATCTTAATCAACGGCCTACGATCAAACCGTGATTTTAACTTCAGGTAAAAATTGCGTAAAAAAAGTAAACGGAATTTATTGCGAGAAATGTTTATTCTGTTAAATCCAACTCTTCGAAAGGTTTCCAAGCCCAAATTACTTCGTGGAGTACAGTACAGTACATCGATCCCTGAAAGTTAAACTTACGATCCACAAACAATAAAAAATATGGGAAGTTACGCTGTGATTTTACTATAGGGACCTGCGTAACAATGATTCATCCGAAATTTTTCATTTTGTGATCAATGTCGACCAAAAAATGAATCAAGAATTCTTCCAATGTCCTCATGCTCTAATAATTAAAGTTCATATTGAAAGTGCAGCGCTAAAATTCTTGGAGGAAACTCAACCAGCCTAATAAAGGGGCAATTTATTTTTTATGGGTATCGCAGTACCTCGAATTTATTCTGCAATTCTGAGTCTGTCAGGTGGCCTATACTAGAACAATATAGGCCACACACACACGATTTTCAGGACATTATTCATGGAAAAAGTGCGTCCCATTGAGGCATGAACAAAGTTATCCGAGCTCTACAGACAGGATACATTTATATACATTTTTTTTTTCTAGCGGAAAGGACCTAAGTGTCGCAAAGTAAAATAATACTGTGTACTCCCGTCTTGGGGAATCCTCGTCTCAAATTTTTATTTCGTTCTAATTAATATACAAAAGGTTGATTGTAATTTAAAAAGCAAACCTGGTGGCGTTGTTGAGCAAGGCTAATTTTCCGAAATCGTCACCTTCGCCGAGGGTCGTCACAGTTCCACGTCCTTGAATCACAACATTCACTGATCCCTTGAGTATGATGTACCAAGAATGACCCACGTCTCCTTGGCGGAACACTGTAAAAGTAGACGGAGAAAAAAAAGGCAATTTTTCAAAAATCGTCAACAACAATACGAAAAAGGCGAACAGAAAGGATTTTTCCGCATCGCAAAAGTTCTTTCGCAAAACGACGAGATCCCCTTCAATCAAGCGCTTGAGTTTTCGATGCATATTTTGATCAGAAATTCAACTGATCCTACATTAGAAAACTTTACCTTACCTTGAAAATTAGCCAAGTTCTTCTTGTATTCTAAATCTTAAATGACTAATTAGAAATGACAGAGTTTGAAAAATAGTGAACCTCTAAAAAAAGTTTTTGTTCGATGGTCGCTGATGGTAAATTTTTGAAAATTCCTGCGTCAACGTGCGCATTTATTTTAAAATTATGCGATATAAGAAATACAATCTACAGTATACGGTATTGGAAATTCATCGATTAATATTATCGGAATTTCGAGAATCCGGGTGTGAATAGAAGGATGTCCATTATAACTTGAATCATAACCGAATGAATCGCAAAAACACAGAAAAGGGCATTTCGGTTCGAATCCAACTGAAAAAAGCTCGAAAATTTAATCCCTCGCGATTATTTTAATAAAATAAAAACCTTTAAACCCATGGGGAACTCCGAGGCATTAAATTTGCACATGTTCACCCCTGAAAGTTCTGCTTTATTCACGTTTTCGAAAATACAAGAAGAAGGGAAAAAAAAGCATTGCACTCGCCCCCTCAATTTTCGCCCTATGCCAGAACAACGTCGGGTTGCGTGACTGACGATGGCACAAACAACGACGCCATGCTGTCGGAAAAGCCCTAGTCCACGGAAAGTTTACGACCTTCAGCACAGGTTTTCGTCCGTGTACATCTAGACGGCAATTCCGCAAGCCAGAGGTAAAAGTCGACGCAATTCTCCAAAAGGCACTATTTATTTTTTTGTCTTCACTGCACGAGGCAGGCAATAAAACCTTCCCAGTCCAGTAATTTTCTCCTTTTTTTTTTTTACTCTCTTCGGCAAAATAATGGTCCTGTAAAAATATTGCGCGAAGTACGTCGGAGTTCTCGAAAGCACTTCAAGAAAGGCGTACCGGAAGTTTGAACGCAATTTTAAAGGGCGAATTGAAGATTTTGAATTTGTTTTCACGTTTTCAATTATTTCAAGTACAGTGTAAGCGTATCTTTGGAATTCTACGTTACCCTTTGTACATTCACGAAATTGGGTCATTAATAAAGGGATATGATCGCAATGAACGTTACTTGGCATTAATTTGAAAAATAACATTGATTATTTAATTTCATGCGCAGTTTTTGGCAAACATTGCTCGGGGAAATATCAAGGTGCGTCTTTTACTCGATGAAGTTACGCAATAGCTTCATAGAGTCAAAAATAAAGAGCATAATTATGTATGAAGCAGCATCATATTTTTGCACTAATTTCCGATCGAAAAATGATCATGCTTCAAGTTTTTTCTCAAGACTGTAATGGTAAGAATAATTTCTATAGAAGTTAGTTGAGAAAGATCTAGCATCAATTCAACAGATTCTCATGATTTCCAGGGAATTTCATGCACTGCAAGCAGTGTGCCTTATATTCAAAAGTAAAATTTAATTAACTTTTCAGGAGCAAAATCAAACGAAGATGCGTCTCGCCGTGATTTGCCAATTTAAATGAATATAGCAGTTATCGATCAAATTTTTGAGACGGGAGGGACCATACTCAAATTTTCCATTTTATTGATATGGAAAATCTTTTTGGCACGTGGAAATTCCTTTAAGTTCTTGTCAGAAAATCTCTAAAAGTCTGACAATGAATACACACTATGCAAGAAAAATCGTTTCGTGAAATCTTAATTTCTGTTCGTTTCGTACTCTTTGAAATTGTGAAAATAAAATTTACTCTATTTGCGTCTAATTGGATATGAGTGATGACACCGTTTACAGAGTTTTTATGGTCTTCAAAAAGTTTTGATGGGCTTAAGTGCATCAGCAGTCATTCAGCTGCGGTTTTTGAACTTCAGCGTAAATTAAAATTTATGCTATTCAAGAGTACTTTCAACTTTTGATAAGATTCGGCACACATTCATTTTGATACTGTACTTGAAAAAGAGCATTCATCCTCGCCTTCTGACGAATGACATTTTCTTTTAAAACACCTCATTTTCACACATTGTCAATAAATGTAGGACAAAACTTCGAGCGCACTTTCAACATTCATAAATAACGAGAAAGACTTTATTGTACAGTATATGTAATCTACTCCCCCACACACATTTCTTATATTTTATATGAAAAATCTGAAGGTGGTAATGGAAGGACTGCCATCAGGTTTGCAACATGAGCAATTGACGCGCAAAACTCAGAAAATCCCATCCAGAAAATTAAACCCGCGATTGATACAGCTTTTCAATTCTTACATGATCACAATTTTTCAACGAGAGATAGCTTTTAAATATTGTCACCCCGGCGTAATAAGATTAAAAAAAATCGTCGTCAGATCAAACATAAATTGGTTAATATTTTTAAAATCTAAAAGTAGCGATGAACAGATTTTTTCATACTCACAGCGTGAAATATTGAAGAGCAAAAAGCAAACATTTCCAACGCAATTTAATTAAAGGCAGACAACTTGAGGAGGTACAATGTTTTTTTAAATACATGATTAATATTTTTCATGAATAACTTATCAAATACGGCGCTTCAAAATCAAGAATTACCACTGGATACAAATGAAAATGAGTCGTAATGAATTACAAAGAGAGATTATGAAATGCATCAACGCCGAAGTAAACTCCTTTTTTTCCAGATTAAAGCCTCGTTGTCGAAAAAAAAAGTATTGTTGCAGTCGCATTCTTTTCTAACTTTCCTGGAAGAAATTTCATCGCTGAAATATTTTTCTCGTCACCGGTGAAGCTTTTTCAACCAAGCTGCAAATCTACCGGAAGATCTCATCGCTTCGTTATTTGCTCTCTCTCTCTCTCTCTTTCCACTAAAACGAAATTCAATCGCATCCGGGAATAGCAACGTTGCTACGCATTCTTCTGGGAAAAAGCTCATCGCGAAGCCCCCGAGCGGATTTGCACATAATTAAAAGCCCCCCTTTTTTTTCTCTGCATAAAGGAGGGTACGAAAGATAATACGGCCCTAATTCTACCCACGCGCTCGGAGCCGAATACCTTGTTCCTTTCTGTGTGGCATCAAACACGGACAGGATGCAAATTAATTCTCTCGCAAAACAGCGCGACGACGGCGTAATTAAACCTCAGGAGTCGGGTTAAAGTTGTTTGCGTCAGCCTACGACATCGCATTCATGGAGAGGAAATGCACCACAAAAAGAAAAAAAGGTCAAGGAAGAAAAATAGTGTCTGTAACTCGACCTAATCTCGCATTTCCCACGTGACAATAGCACGGCATGAGAACCGAGGCGCCATGACGATGAGGAACTGATATCCGGAACCGGTGGGTCACAAATGTCGGATTTCCTATCAGTTTTCTTGAATCTATGCTAAGCTGAGCTGAACGCTGCCAATTGGCCCAGTACTGTTTTATTTTTACAACTGTCCAAAGAATAATAAATCCCCCAAGTGGAACGACTTTTATACTTATATGCAAAGAAAGGCAGTACAGTACAGTAATTATTTGCATAAAGTGCTCGAGGAAAACTTGAGTGAATCGCATTTCGGAGTTCCAAAATTCCAGAGTTTACGATCTTAAAAAAAAAAAAAACGTGTAACTTGGAAAAGTTAGATTGTTCGATATTCGCGGGACAAGGAAAAACTTTCAAGAACCGGAAATTTCACACCTATTTGCAACACTTGTAAATCGGAATTTTTTATAATCGAAAGATACGACTGTCGGGGCATTAAAGTTTGCGAATTTTTCACAGAACATCAATTGACTCGCACAAAGATGACATTCACCAGGTATTTCGTTTTATGAGCATCGATCAATAATTTCCACGAATATATTCCCAACAATTTAGTTCTCAATAGGTGGTATTGAAAAGGACACCTGATTCTTGTTAGGAGCGAAGTTTCATCGACCACACATGAATCTTTCACGAATTCGGACCACACACCACAAACACATATAGAGAAATAAGTTCACGAATTATTTTTATACAAAAAGAGCAAATAATTTTTTTTTTCATTTTTGCCCAAAATGTTGAGGATCGATATGGAATTTAATTTTCCGAGCGAGAAGTTTCCCAAATCTTGGCTACAGTTGAAGAGAACAATTTGCAAATGAAAAGAAGGCTTGCGTCATTTAATTTACAAAATAAGATAAACAGATTCTGAATAAGACACTCGGGTAACCCAACAAATTCCTGACAACGTTAAATTTCGTCATCGTTTTGATAGAAAAATTCATAAATTTAAAAGAAGCATCTGAAGCCATTTGCGAGCACACTGACTATAACAAAAGTGAATCGACTCATGACATAATCCAAAAACGAAACGTTTCCTCAATTCTAAAGCAGAAAAGAGCTGTTTCGAACGAACGCCCAGCAAAAACTTATGAACTAGACTTCCAGTATGATGTGTCCTCACGCCACAACTTTCAAAACACTTTTGTAAGAACGTGTCCTTTTCGTGGACCGAAACTTTGATCATGAAACGTTCTTAAATAGGAACTTGTTACGTAATAATGTGATGCGAGAAAAGTCGGGAGAAGCAATTTTCTGAGAAAAGGTCGCTCAAATATGCCCGTGGAAGACAAAACCTTTCAAACAGGAATTCCATTCAGAATTTCAGATCCCGAGAGAGGAAAATTTCTTTTCTTCTTCAGAATGGCAAGATTGTTTTTATTTTGATTAAAAAGAAACGTAAATCTAGAATGAACTCACGAATTGTGCCGGCGCTTTGATGAGCCTCGAAGAGCAAAACGTCAGCGAGCTGTCGCTTAACACTGGTCGATAAATGCGACAGCGCAGCTACTTGAAGGAGTTCTTCATAAATCAACTCCAAATCTTCCTCGGATCGATCTTGTCTCCTGTCAAACAACAACATCAACAAATTATGCACACACGAATTAATAAAATTGATTCAACCCAAGGGTATACCGATGCTGGGGATGCATCTCAGCGATAAAAAAAAATAAAAATAATGTGGAGGGCATGATACTATGAAACAAAACGCTGTTTCCATGCAAATGAGGAGGACACGGCTCGGAGGAGGGATGGAATAGTTTTCGGGCCAAGTTAATGAAGAAGGGCAGAATCGGAGCAAACACTGAGAGCAGATTCTCGTGTCAAGGCTGGGTCGGGATGATGAGCACCCGTATCCAGAATACCTCATGAGAAACTCATCTCTCATGATTCCGTCGGTGTAAACGCCAGGTTCGTGATCTTCGAGCAGAACAGCTGCCAAGCAATTTTGAAACATTCTAAGAAGGAATATTTTCATCTTTTTCTCCACAGTATAGAATATAAAAATAAAAAACCACACGTTCTTATCAAAAAACTAGGTCGAAAAATCGAGGCGTGTCCGTTCGAGATCCACTGGTAAAATGAATGCTTATTTGCTTCCGGCCAACACGATCGCTCAAAAATAATTGATCGTAAAAGTCAATCGAACAGATCATTTCTACAACTTTCACTTCAAGTGAGCTAGAAATAAAATCGGGGATTTCTGTCGGAAAATTTCAAAACATTAATCTACTAGCTTAACGTTGGTCAAGTACTGCCTATGCTGCTAATGGAGACACTAGGAAAGAAAAAAAGCGTACTTTTATTTACAAGGCAAAGTTATTCGTATTTTTAAAGAAAAAAGAATAGAATACAGTTTTCTAATCGATTATTTATTAGTTCAGTCGTACTTATTGAGTCAATGTGAAAAAAAGTCATATCAAACAAAAAATGGTTCCCAGTTGCTTGAACATTTTTCGAATCTTGTAGGTTTGATTTCTGCACAATGCCAGACGTTTCATTGATATTTTGATACCCCAAAATAGAACATTTGATGCTTAGAAATACATCGTACTGTATCGATATTAAGTGGTGTACAATCACAGAATATTCCCGTTTATTAATCCCAGACTCATGTAAAACACGACTCGATTAATTGAAAAAATTAAAGCTTCGAAGGACAAAGGTGTTGAGCACATTTTCAAGATTTTGTTTGATAATTTAATGGAATCATCTGGAAAAATACATTTTGCACGTACCATATTCAAACGAATCTTTATGAAGAAAAATTATCCACGCCCTTCGAAGTGCTTCCAGAAAATGAATCAAAGGGCTATTTCCTGGAAATTTACTCCCTGATTTGCCAATCAGCTCTAAAAATGTCGAAAAAATATATTAGAGAAGCCTTTAACATCCAGAAATTCCAGATTTATTTTATTTTCACGTGAGTTGATTAATGGAAAGCAGAAACTGCGCTGAGAAACGGTGAATAAGCTGCTGATGATTGACTCGAGCCTCGAAAGAAGCAATTGGGGGTTTCTTCTACTCGTCATAAAAGACACCATCGCGTTTCTTTATTTTCAATATATTTAAATTTGCTTCATCCAAATTACACATTTGCAATCGCTTTTAAATCCTCCGTGAGGACTGGAGTAATGGGTCAACAGGAAACTCGGACAAATAAGTAAGTGTTTTCCGCCTGGTAGGTCGAAGTGCGAGACAAAATCTCGTGAGATAGTTCCTGAGGTGAGGGCCATTGTGTTCACCTTTCCCACCCTTTCAACATAGGCGGTACAATCTAGTCCAGAGCTGTTTAGGTTCCCGTTGTGCCCTCAAGCCCCCGTTATACGATTCACACGGTCATTTCGGCCATCGGAATTCCTTCCTGCGAAAACCGCTCAATCAAGCAAAAAAATACTTTATTCTAGTGAAAAATGAATAGAGCTGTTAAAAAGTTTTTTTTTCTCTCGTATCACTGAGGGAATTTTCTTTCATCAACCATTCAGGACACACCCGGTTCACCTCTGCACCTCATTTAACTCATTATTTCAAAATTAAATGATTTCGGACAATACCGATACGAAATGGACACCAGCTCGCCTCCTCATCGAAATACCGCAATTCTTCATAAATTCCCTAAATGCTTCAACTTTTTCTTGACGTTACATTAATCAGTTCTTACGAATCAATCCAACGATATTGGAAAAATATCGGTTTTCTCAGTTACTTCGGTGTATAGCACAATAAGATGTGGCTCAATTTTAAAAGTGAAGTCTTGCAAAAATCCTAACTCAAGGAATATTTGTATGACCAAAAATTAATCGTTAGACGTGAACGTCACTGGAAAATTTTGGTGAATCTAAAACAACTCTTCATGTGTCTCAACAGACCAGAAAAAATATTTCTTCAAAATCAAAAGTCCAGCACAGTATTTCGAAAATTTACGCGTAAAAAATCAGTACATTCAACGAAAGTCGATGAAATGCAAGTCACTCATTCATACCTTGATTTGCACGTTAAAAACTCTTTTCTATAATTCACAACTAGGTTTATATGAATGTTTTGGTATTGTACGTAACTTGAATCAACCAGACGCCTTCGAACTATAATAAAAGTTGCCTTTATTGTCTTGGTTGATGCTTGAAAAGCAAACAGAAATACTGTAGGTGACTTTCCAATCAAAAGGCTTTTTAAATGCCGACTCAAACCATCACAGGTAAAGTTGGATGAAAGTCTTCCGAAATATCCACACATACAAAAATCTTTCAAGATCGTAAAACATCCAGTTTGTTGATTCCTTTCTTCCATCTTTGAGAAGCAACAGTAGGAGGTAAATATCACGTCAAAAGACTTGCTAAACGCAGACTTAAACCGGGTTATTGAATAAAAGTCCTTTAAAATATACATTAAAATATTTCACGATGGAAAAAAATCCTCAAGTTCGTTGATTTCCTTCCCTCAAAAAACAAAATAACTCACGTCGGACGTTCGGTTAATCTGCACAACTTAAATTACCTTTACGTCGATAATTTAGACGAAACTCAAAAATTAGCGCAAAAAAACCTCCTCGAAGATTCAAGGGCATTAAAGTCCTTCGTCCATTGGTCGTGTAAATCCCTCAGGAATCTTAAATCATCCAGATGCCTTTAAACTATAATAAGAGTGCCTTTATTATCTTGACTGGTGCTTTCGAAGCAAAATCCAGCTGGCGAAAATCCCATCAAAAGACTCGCTAAATGTAAACTCAAGCCACGCGAAGTTGGATAAAAGTCTTACACTGAATATTAAAAATAAAAAAATTCGTTCACGATCAAAAACTCTAGAATATGCATTGAAAAAAAAAATCTTTCAAGATTGAAAAACATCCAGTTCGTTCGTTCCTTTGTTTCCCGGAACGGAAACCCACGTCGGACGTTCGGCCTCTCCCTAATGTAATTTAAACAGCGTTTTCGTCGATAATTTAGACGCGACGCTCAAATTAGCAGACGCCAAAATAAAAATAAAAAACCTCCTTGCAGGGTCAAGGGCATTCAAGCCCTTCGTTCATTCTTCGTGTATATGTATACCCCTCAAGAAACTCTCATATACCCTCCCAAGCCCACAGACGGTATTATGTTGCACGTGAAAAGCGGGTTGTTCGCAACACCGGCGGGCGACGCGGTCTTTCGCACCAGGTGCAGTGAATTAATCATGACTCGACGTTCATTTCCCAGGGCTCAGAACGGAAGAAGAAGAAGAAGCAAAGTCCAGCACCAGAAAAAGAAAAATAAAAGACGACGAAGAAAAGAAGTAAACGGAAGTAGAAGAAGCAGGTAGGAGAATAAAACAAGAATAATATCACTCACGGTTTCCGGAGTGCGAGCCTGAATAATGCATCAGGCGCGATGCGGGCCAGGACAGTCAGCGCCTCGCGCAGAGCGTCTTCCCCAAACGATCCCTCCCACGACGCCTCGTCGATGTTCCACTTGTACAGCAGGTATTTGTCTCGGAACGGGTGTTCGTGAGTGGCTGCGGGCAACCGGATAATTACTTCCTCAAAGATATATACTTCTCCTTGCTGGGACAGGAAAAGCAACGTGCCCTTTTGGTACTTTTCCTGTTATCTCAGTGCCTACTTTCTGTGCACCTACCAGAAACTGTGAATTTCATTTTTCTGCTTAAACTGATTTTGCGAGCCGGTTAGGTAAAGTAAGGTTAGGTCAGGTTATGTTAATTGAAAGATATTTGTAACTAAAATATCCTGACCTAACCTAACTTTACCTAACCGCCTCCCAAAATCAGTTCAGCAGAAAAAAAATTACAAATATCTTTCAATTAGTTACAAATATCTTTCAATTCACATAACCTGACCTAACCTAACTTTACCTAACCACCTCCCAAAATCAGTTTCAGCAGAAAAAACTTACAAATATCCTTCAATTAGTTACAAATATCTTTCAATTAGTTACAAATATCTTTCAATTAGTTACAAATATCTTTCAATTAGTTACAAATATCTTTCAATTAGTTACAAATATCTTTCAATTAGTTACAAATATCTTTCAAT